GGAATGGCAAGCGACACACTGACAAAGGAGATTAATCAGAACTGGCTTTGACAAGCACTGTGGCAATTGGACAATTAAAACAGATATTGTGGGGGGGAAAGAAGAACGAACTGGGGAGGAGGGTGGAGAAAACAGTGCAACGTTGAATGAATGAAAACCCAAAATCTCTGCAAATGTTCATTAAAACTAATAAAATTTAATTTAAAAAAATGAAATGCAACCCCCCTCCAGAAAAAAAGATCAACATACAAAAATCATTTGGGGAATGTACCATGGACTGCCAAGAAAACAAACAGATTCATCCTGGAGAGGATTAAACCAAGCAACTCCTTGGAGGAGATATGACTGCTCATCAGTCCAGAAGCCAACATCGAGAGGATTCATCCTGGGATTGGTGCAAGCTTTCATCCATAAGGGTCTACAACTTCAATGTTGAAGAGAGCTACAGCAAGGAGGCTGGAAAGCATATTAATATCCAGGTGGTAATGGGGACATGAGTGGCCTAGGAAATTGGGAGGAATGGAAGAAGCAGCAGAGTCCTTCATTGTCATTGTCTTTGCAGCAGGCAACTTCACTCATGGACCTCAACCCATAGACTTAAAGAAATCAGACAGACTACATCTGTAAAAGAATGGATGTCTTTAAACTGTGATGTTGGAGAAGAGTAGAGAATATTCATGGGTTGCCAAAAAGCAAACAGAGCACAGCCACGGGTTCTGGGAAGAACTTGAAGTGGAACAAGAACTTGAAACACTCAACAGACAGAATCCTGGGAAGATAGTTGTATGTGCACAAGAGAGTACAGAGAGCTGGCACAGCACAGACACAGGGAGCAGGGAGCTGGTGCCTGATGCGCTGGCCTCAGCTGTCACAGAGAAGCCATACTTTCTGGGAAATGTACTTCATTTTCCTGGATTCTGATTTCCTATTATGTGTTGTTGAAATGTTAGCAGGGCCTACTTTTTTGTCATATATTATGAGGCTAATTATGACCAAAAAGAGTAACAACTTTGGAAATCTAAGTGGTACTCACAAAGTATTCCTCAAGTGTTCTATTTTAAATGTCTGGAAAATCAGTAGATAACTGAATAGTGTTTGTCTTTATAGACGATAATATATGCTACAGAATAAGGAGAAATGGAAAGTTACTCAGCAGCCTTTACATTGCTATGATGCTTTCCACATCACTTTCCAAAATTCTTTAGGGCCAAGGTTACTATATTGAGAGGACTGATGTCTTAGAAAAGGCCTATGAGTCTAATAAGGCACCCCCCCCCATGGAAATACACTCTCACACACTCATTCCATGTATACTTACTCATATTGTTGTGTTCTGTCATCTGTGATTCTAGGAACTCTACAGAGCTCTATAAGACATAGTAGAACTGTACCCTAGAGTTTCCTACGCTGTGAATCTTTAGGGAATTTTCCCACACGGAGGAACTTGTGGATTTGAGCCAATGACCCTTTGGGTTGTTTCTGATTCCTCAACCAATGAACCACCAGCATTCATTGATTGACTCATAGGAACCGTCTAAAGTAATGTACACAACTCATTGTGATTTTTAAAAAAATAGAGCTGTTTTATCTTTGAGAAAGTGTTTAAGGCCATTAAATGGGGAAAAGATAGCCTTAGGACATTATGCTGAGGGAAATATCTCAGTCACAATATCTCAGTGGCATAGTGCCAGTCTGTAGAACGGGACTGACATCAGGGTTGGGGTGAGACTGAGAAAAATTGGATACAGTATGTATACTGCATTGAAACAGAAGAGGGAGAGAACAGTTTAAAAGTGGTATATGATTGGTTATTATGGTTATGGCAAGAGTCCAGAATGAAGGCTATAAAGTGGAGTGTATGGGGGGGGGATTGTATACTAATGAAAGAATTTTACTTTTCAAGAGAAAAACAAACTTGGGGGGAGACGAGGGCAGGGAGAAAAATGCAACAATGAATGAATGGATATCCAAAATATCTGTAAATGTTCATTAAAATTAATTTTAAAAAATCATTTGGATTTCTTACAGTGACAAAGAAGAATACAGAACTGGAGCTGAGAAAAATAATACCCTTCACAATAACTAATCATAAGATTAAATAATTAAGAGTAAACCTAACCAAACAATCTGAATATTCTTTTTTTTTTGCAAGTAGTATGATTTTTATTTATTTCAACTTATAAATTGAGCCTTCAAATCAACACAAATCTGTTTACTGGGTTTGTTGTTTCTTTTTGAATATGAAAGTTCTGTGCTTTAATTGCAGGTAGCTCTAAATCATACAATTCTTTCAAAGCATAGAATCTTATTAGCCATTACACAAATTGTATTCTTCATTATCTGTTCACCTTTGGAGAAATGTTTGTTAACTACTACTGCAAGAGGGTAGAAATCATTATTGTTGTTAAGTGTCAGTTATTCTAAGTACTCTAAGTACATTATTCTCCTGATTTTATTGCCATAAATCTGGATTTCTTTAGTATAAGGCAAAATCAATAGACAATATATCTTCAATCTAGGGTTAAGAAATACATGTAGATCTGGTGACATAAAATATATGTACAAGGTATAAACATATTTATACTTTGTATGTACACACAGAATGGTTATCTACTCATTATAAATAGTAAGCTATAACTTAGAGTCTACAAAAATAATCAATTTGGATAGTAACATGCACACCATACACAGAAATTTCTTTGTAAAACACGTTCCTATGTCTCTTTTTGCTTTAAATAGAAATTCTGTTATTTAGCCAAAGCTAAATTATTTCAAGGCAAACCCCAACGTCCCCAATTAAAAGTATAAAACCTGAACCTAGCCACAGAACTGCTCCAAGCATTCATTGCCTATGGTCACATCTAGAACCTTCAGTCACAAAGGAATGGCAGGTATGTCTATTTCCTCAGCTATCATGTATTTCCAGGTGAAACTTCCCTTCATTCCAGTTTGTTTGCATTTCTTTTTGCTTTAAATACTGCAAACTGAGATTTATTAAAATAGCATCATGATGGCTTTTGCAGGCTCATTAAAAAGAGAGTGGAGCCTACAGCAGACTGCCCTGAAGCCCCTGTTAGTTGTTAGCAGAGGTGTCCGGGAGGGCTGGTGACTGGGCGGCTACAAAGGGCTCGTTCTGCTTCTGGTCCTCTTTGAGGCCAGCTGCTTGGTCTGAGATGGAGGAGAAGGAGAGCTGGTTGTGCACCAAGGTGTGCAGCTGGTCCTTGTTGTTGAACTTCTTCACGTAGAACAGCTTCCAGAACTTCTTCAGCTCACGCAGGTCACAGAAGGTCTCCAGGGCCACTAGCTTGGTGATCAGGCCAAACATCAAATAGCATATGATTCCAAACTTATAGAGCCCTCTGAACTTCTGATGGTTGTCTTCTCCCGGAACGTAGTCCCCGAGGCCAATGGTGCTCAGAGAAATAAAGCAGAAATAGAAGGATTTGAGGAAGTTCCAGTCCTTTTCCAGGACGGAGAAGATGGCAGCAGGGATGATGAAGAAGAAGGACATGGTGAAGAAGCCGAGGACGGTGGCACGCACCAGGGCCACGGAGTGCTTGGAGAAGCCCCAGAGCATGTGGATGTAGGAGACCAGCCTGTGGGTGATGTGAAGGGTGACACGCTGGACCCCCGCTGTCAGGAACAGGAGCGTGAAGGGGATGCCATGACTGAGTACACGATGCAGAAGGCCTTCCCCCCGTCAGACAAGGGGACCGTAGTATGGCCATAACCTGTGCTGGAGAGCACGGTGCTACACGCCGCTGTAGCTTCTGGCCTTGTGCACGCATGCCAGGAAGCGCCGCTTGGCCTTGCTCAGCTCCTGGCACAGCACGTCCTCTTGGGCAGTTCCACTGACAAGAAGACAACGGCTCTGAACACCCGGTAGAGCAGGTAGCCGGGGCACCAGGAAGCCGAAGAACCAGGCCGAGCGGTGCCGCTCCACCAGCTGCGCGCACGAGGGCCCCGCCATCAACTGCAGCATCTTCCCGCCGCACCCGCCCGCACCGCCCCGGCGACGCGCCCCACCTGCACGCTTTGCACTCCGTTCCGCGCCACGCTCAGCGCCTGGGTCCCCAGCGGCCGGCCTGCCCAGTATTCATTATCCATCCTGATGCTGCCAGTTGGTCCAGCGGTGAGAATCTTTGTCGTCTTGATATTGAGCCTCAATCCATATTGGAGGCTGCAGACCTTGACCATCTACAGCAAGTGCTTCAGGTCCTCCTCTGTTTCAGCAAGCAGGTTTGTGTCATCTGCATAACGCAGATTGTTGATGGATCTTCCATCAATCCTGATGCCACACTTCTCCTCATAGAGCCCAGCCTCCCGGATAATCTGTTCTGCATATAGGTTGAAAAGGTATGGATATAGGATGCATCCCTGGTGTACCCTCTTCCCAATTTTGAACCATGCAGTGTTTCCTTGCTTTATTCTGACGACTGCCTTCTGGTACAAGTAAAGCTTTCCAATTAGCACAATCAAGCAAGTGTTCTGGGATTCCCATTCTTCTCAGAGTCAGCCACAGTTTGTTATGATCCAAACAGTCAAATGCCTTTGCATAATCAATGAAACACAGATTGAAATTCCTCTGGTATTCCCTGCTTTCAGCTAAGATCCATCTAACATTAGCTACAATATCCCTGGTACCACGACCCCTTCTAAACCCAGCCTGGTCTTCTGGCAGTTCTCTGCTGATGTGCTGTTCAGTCGTTTTTGGATAATCTTTAGCAGAATCTTGCTTGCATGTGAATTCAATGATACTGTTCTATAATTTCCACACTATGTTGGGTCACCCTTCTTTGAAATGGCAACAAATACAGATCTCTTCTAATCAGTTGGCCAAGTGGTTGTTCTCCAGATTTCTTGACACAATTTGGTGAGCACTTCCAGGGCAGCCTCTGTTAGTTGAAATACGTCAACTGGTATACCATCTATTCCTGGGGCCTTATTTTTTGCTATTTCCTTCAAAGCAGCTTGAACTTCTTCTTTCATTACCAATAAACTCTTGCTCATATGTTGTTTCATGAAATTCTTCTGTGTCTGCCAATGCCTTTCTATACAATGATTCAGTATATCCTTTCCATCTTCTCTTAATACTTCCTGGATAATTTAATATTCTGCCTAAAGCATCCTTGATTATAGCAACTCGAGGTTTGGATTTGTTCTTCAGGTCCTTGAGTTTAAGAAATGCTGAGCGAATTTGGCCCTTTAGATTTTCTGACTCCAGCTCCTAGCACATTTCATTGTAATATTTTACTTTGTCTTCCCCCGCTGCCTTTTATAATCTTCTGCTCAGCTCATTAGTATCTTGAATTCTTCCTTCTGCTTTGGCTTTTCTGCACTCCAGTGCAATATTCAGAGTTGGTACCAGGAGCCAGGAAATTAAAATATGTATTGTGATGGGAAAGTTGGCTATTAGGGATCGCTCCAGGATATTGAAAAGCAATGGTGTGAAAACCTCTGGGGAACAGCCAAAGCAGTAATTAGAGGTCAATTTATAGCAATAAGCAAACACATCAAAAGGCAGGAAAAATTGACCATTGACTATCTAACCCAACACCTCCAACAAATTGAAAAAGATCAGCAAGAAAACCCAACACCCTCTAAAAAGACTAAAATTATAAAATTTAGAGCAGAGATAAATGAAATAGAAAACTGAAAAACAATTGAAACTAACATCAAAACTAGGAGTTGGTTCTTTGAAAGGTCAATAAAATCAATAAACCATTAGCAAAACTCACAAAAGAAAAGAAGACACAAATAATCCGAATAACAGATAAATCAGGCAACATCACAACAGACCCAACTAAAATAAAAAAGTTAACATTAGAGTATTATGAAAACCTATACTCAAACAAATATGAAAACCTAGAGGAAATGGACAAATACTTAGAAACACACAACCTACCTAAACTGACACCCACCGAAATTGAACACCTGAACAGACCCATTACAAAAAAAAAGAAATTGAAAAATTAATACAACAACTTCCAACAAAAAAAAAGCCCTGGTTTTACAAGTGAATTTTATCAAACATTCAGAGAAGAACTGTCACCAATTCTACATTAACTATTTCAGAAAATAGAAGAAGATAGAATTATCCCAGACTCATTCTATGAAGCAAACATAACCTTGATACCAAAGCCAAGAAAGGACACTACCAAAATAGAAAACTATAGGCCAATATCTCTTATGTACATAGATGCAAAAATTATGAATCAAATACTGGCCAATAGAATCCAACGATACAACAAAGAAATAATCCATCATGACCAAATGGGATTCATAACAGGTATGCAAGGATGGTTCAATAAAAGAAAAACCA